AGATTGCATTAAAATTAAAACGAGTTAATAATATTTAATGCTATTTATCTAAAGTTCAAAACGAGTTAATAATATCTGATGCTATTTATCTAAAGTTTAAAACGAGTTAATAATATTTAATGCTATTTATCTAAAGTTCAAAACGAGTTAATAATATCTGATGCTATTTATCTAAAGTTTAAAACGAGTTAATAATATTTAATGCTATTTATTTTAACTTTAAAACGAGTTAATAATATTTAATGCTATTTATCGTAAGTTTAAAACGAGTTAATAATATTTAATGCTACTTATCTTAAGTTTAAAACGAGTTAATAATATTTAATGCTATTTACCTTAAGTTTAAAACGAGTTAATAATATTTAATGCTTTAATAATTTAATATTTAAGGTTAAGCTATAAAGAACGTAATTTTTCTATTGTTTTAAACTTACAAAATCGGCTACCACATGCATTCGGTTTTCTACTCCACTTTTTCTCGCCAAAATAAACGGGTACTCCGCTGAGGGCCACCACCAACCCGATTCCTGTCTGAGTTGGCTGGGCGTAGACAGGAACGACTGTCAGGAACAGGCAACAAAACAAAAACAAGACAGGAACGAATAAAGTCACTTTTACCGGTCTTCGCATACAGGGCTTCTTAAACCGCAGGAACAGCAAACCGGTGATAGTGACAGCTACTCCGAGCCAGTAGACGAAACTAAAGTAATTAATCAGTTGGTAGATGTCGCCACTAGCCAGCATCAACAGAGAGAGACCACACTATAATATAGTAATAATAATTTGTTATTGAAAAGGCAAACAAAGATGGAACTTTAAATAGAAACGCTGTAAAAACGTGACCATGTGTAAAAAAGGAAGTTAGCTATAGAAAAAAAAGTTCTGGTATTAAATTTTAATAGAAAATGTACTTTATTTAAAAATGAAAACGAATTTCTGTTGAAATCAAGCATATCTGTAAAACTTTCATTTCTTGTGCCCAATCATTGTGTTAATTTCACAGTACAAGTGCTAGAAAGGAAATATTTGAGTCACGAGATTAAACTGCGTGTGACTAATAAAATACAGGTGTCACGACAGTTTCACGCTCTACTTGTACTCATTAGATTTTACAACATATGCTGTTGTTGCATTTACTCACCGTAAATATTAACGATGATGTTGGCGTGCATCTTTTGTAGTGAATCATTCCAAAAATTAGCGGTAGGTATCCTTCTTGAGCTCCCGCTAGAAAAATCCTATACAAATTAAACATTTTTAAAATATTTTTTCATATATATTTCTTTTACAGCAAAAAGTGAAAGTCAAGAAAGTTATGTCGTGTTTCACTGCGAAGTAAATACAACAACGTTTGTATCTGTTATAAGTGAGAGTCAACACGTAATACCCCGTGTTTCACCGTAAAATAAATACAACAATGACTTTATCTGTTATAAGTGAGAGTCAACACGTAATACCTCGTGTTTTACCGTGAAGTAAATACAACAACGTCTTTACATGTTACAAGTGAGAGTCAACACGTAATAACCCGTGTTTCACCGTGAAGAACAAACAACAACGTCTTTATCTGTTACAAGTGAGAGACAACACGTAATACCTCGTGTTTTACCGTGAAGTAAATACAACAACGTCTTTATCGGTTACAAGTGAGAGTCAACACGTAATAACCCGTGTTTCACCGTGAAGAACAAACAACAACGTCTTTATCGGTTACGAGTGAGAGTCAACACGTAATAACCCATGTTTCACCGTGAAATAAATACAACAACGTCTTTACATGTTACAAGTGAGAGTCGACACATAATAACCCATGTTTCACCGTGAAATAAATACAACAACGTCTTTACATGTTACAAGTGAAAGTCGACACGTAATACCCCGTTGATTTACTGTGAAATAGATATGACTGCACCTCGTTCAGTGAAAGTCAAAACATAATATATAATGTACAATAATGACTTGTCTGCTAGCATTAATTACACTTGAGAGTAGAAATATGATTTTTTTTAGATTCTGTTTTACTTGTAAAGGCAAGAAATGTGGTAATACCTTCCGGAAGTAAAGAGCAAGCCATTCACAGCGCTGACTGTTGAAAGCCCTACACACACGGGCATTATCCAAGCCACAGCTCCAAACATTCTCTCGGCGAAGGTCTGAGAAAATCAGGTACAGGTGATAATGTTAGAAACATTTCATTTTACTGACTCGTAAAACGTTTTATATTGTTAGTGTTGAAAAATCGTCAAGTTATATCTATTTTAATAAATATTCGCAAGGTTTAGTTTCTGTTTGACAGTCCTGTTTGTTTGTTTAAAGTTAAGCACAAAGCTACACAATGGCCTATATGTGCTCTGCCCACCACGGATATCGAAACCCAGTTTCTAGCGTTGTAAGTCCGCAGACATACCGCTCTGCCACTGGGGGGCTTAACAGTCCTGACACCGTTTTGGAGTTTAGGACAATACAAAAAATAGTTACCATAAATGTTATCTTTATGATTAACAGCGATAATTGAGAAGTCCATTGTACGGATTACTAGTATCGAAGTCCATTGTACGGATTACTGGTATCGAAGTCCATTGTACGGATTACTGGTATCGAAGTCCATTGTACGGAATTACTAGTATCG